AAAATTTAAAATTAAATTATTTTCCTGACCTTTACACTACTTGTTAATATTTTAAAACAAGTTATTTCAGTATAGTTTGTTGAATTAAAAACAATGGCATAATTGGTAATATTACTATCCTCAGCAGACAATTTTTGACAAAATTAAAATAATTATCATAATATATTTCCAAACAGAAAGGGTTTATTAAAAAAATGTATACTTTAAGGATAAAACATTTATTATTCCTTCTTTTAATTAACGATTCACGACAAAATATCTTAACGCCAAATATATAATTTAACATTATCAATAATATCTGTTCGTAACGAATTATGTTGTGTTGTTACCCTGCAGTTTTACGTCTTACATTTTCTTCTTACTGTGACATGCTCTATACAGAGCGTTGGCTACCTCTCACATGTACTTGTGATATGTGTCATCAGTGTTTCACAAGTACACTGGACCTACAGTTTATCGCCGAATTCAAATGGCACTATTTGAGAGGCTCAAAGTGGTTTATCATTGCCTTCCTTGAGGTGGTAGCTTGCTGGTCGCTCTATTTAGATAAATAACTATTTTTATTTTTTAGAGTATTAACACACAGTAAAGCGTACTGGCTGGGAATCGAACCCAGTACCTCTCGCACCGCAGATCGACACACTGCCGCTGGAGCTACGGCCTGCCGGCCTACGATTAACAAGAACTTTAGATAAAAATATATATACACGGAGAAACTACGATCATTTAATTTAAAATGTCAGTTAAAACTGACCTAAGAAACTTTTTTTACCTAACCCTCGATCTATTCAAAATCGGCAGGAAATTCGTGGGGAAGTACCAAAAACTGAGTTTTTTTAATCATCGCCGGGTTGGTTTTTCAGGAACCGTCCGATTGGTATAAGAAAATCCCAACCGAAGGTTATTCCCGATCTAGTTGACCCTACTTGTAACAGATGTCGTTACTGTGCTCATTTCTACCATAAGATATTTCCAATTATTACTAATATCCATATAAATATTATAATTACCTAAAATCACACTAACACTTCATGTCTAATTATGTATACTTTCATATGGAAAGGTCCCAAGTTTACGAATTGAAACTTATACTTGAGCTATTAATTCATGCCTATTAAACATTTACTGAAGATGTATTTCTCTAAATACATGTTGGACTTATACAGGAGATTATTACGTAAACTTTACTTCATATATAAATTAATAATTACACAAATTTTTATTCAAAATCTATTTGCATTGACCTGTGAGAGGTCTGGTTCCAATAGAGCAAAAACTAGGGTACATATCGGTTTACAATTTTGTTACTTTCTTAGGGCGTAAGTTTGTAAACGTCTTCTAATTTAAATTTACGATTTTACGACTTGACTGATTGATACTAAGTATGTTTCTAAATTCCCAGCTATATTAGACTAACAAAAGTTTATTTTATTGTTTCCCAGATTATTTCATTTTTACCAGAAAAAGAGTCCGCTTATTATTTCCAGTGTTTAAGACTTTTAAGAAAAACCTCAAGACATGTGGCTTCTCTCAAGACAACCGCAAGGCAACCTCAACACAACCGCTTAAAAATGTTCTGTTACATTTTACCCCCTACTCAAGAGTGCAGCTATTGTTTTCATTAATATCAAAACAAAGAAAATATAAAAAAATTACCTTTTTATATCGAAAGGAAACAACAAACAAAACAATAGGTTTACTCTATGATTCCTGTTATAAAATGATAAAAATGTACTAGTACTTAACTATACTGAAGTTCCTTGATTATCCGTTGACTCCTGCTGGACGGTGGACCGTGACTTTTTTACGATTTACTATTCGGCCACGTTTTAACCGATTTCGCATTCTCGAATCTCGTGTTATTCGTCTCTTCGTTTTCTTCGTCATATTCGTTCTGTCGACTTTTTGTTTTCCACTATCTCGATGAACATTAAAATCCTAACGGTCTTTATAAAAATTTTATTTTTGTACTGTCCTAAGGTTTCAGTTGTCTTGCTGAACTGTACTAAACTGTACTAGGTTTTTTTCTAAGCCTAAAAATGTTCTGTTACATTTTGCCTCCTACTCAAGAGTGCAGCTATTGTTTTCATTAATATCAAAACAAAGAAAATATAAAAAATTACCTTTTTATATCGAAAGAAAACAACAAACAAAACAATAGGTTCACTATATGATTCCTGTTATAAAATGCTAAAATTATACTAGCACTTAACTAAACTGAAGTTCCATGATTCTTCGTTGACTCCTGCTGGATGGTGGACCGTGAATTTTTTACTATTTACTATTCGGCCGCGTTTTAACCGATATCTAGACTGTATATATTTTTGGTTTTCCACTGTCTGGACGAACACTCAAACCCTAACGATTTTTGTAAAAATTTTGTTTCTTACTGTGCTAAAGCTTCAATTGTCTTTCTGATTTTTTGTGCATGATCAAGGTCAATTAATTGATTGCGTTAACGCAATTGCCTATCGAAGACACTGTATAGTGCAGTACTTTTCCGAAACTATTGATCCCTGTTTTCACCTGCGACGTTGATCTGGATGGCCTCGGAATTACTCCCATAACACATCACTGGAATGCAGCTGATTTGCTTGAAAGGAAAATAACCTATTACCCATTCTGTTGACTTTGTCCCCGACTGTCCTCGGTATGAACTTGCAGATTCATTTACTACATGAACGTAAACTATCTATTTGAATGAACAAAAATTATCTTAATTTTTGTATGAACTCGTTATACGTTGACTCAACTTGTATATTCTCGTTTGTTCTTTTAACGAAAAATAAATCATCTTTTTTAATCCAATCCTACAAAAATTTATGTATATGTTGCTCGGGCATCTGTAGATGTTAGTAATGTATGGCTATTGCTTCTTTGATAATTTGTTTATATCTAGAACACCACATAACATAAGTAAGAATTAAAAACAAACAAGAAACAATATTAATAAATTTTAAGTATTTTGGTCTTACCTCATTAAATAATTATGATGCATGAACAATTACCACCTTGTTAGTTTGAAGATTGTCTTCATGTAATGTAATTTTTCACGGTTTATAATATATTGCAAAAAATTAAGGTTTTCTCCAATGGTTATATTTAGACAATTTAAATAGTTTTTTTTATTTCAACTACGGGAAGGGATATTTTCTAAAACTTTAAGCATTTTTGGAAAGCCACTGACAACCTGTTGGAATCAACGCAGTGTTTTTTAGAAAAATAACTTTTATTTTGTAGATTTTTTTTTTCAATGGCACCTAGACTTTTTTCAAAATATGTATGTCTGTAAACACAAATTCGGTTTTTTTGACTTGGCCAACTTTCTTCTGCCCAACTTACCGTAAACGTTAGATAAGTTGTAAGCACAAAGTAAACATATTTCTTCCATCCAGTATACCAAGTTATAAAAACCTGCGTCATAAACAATACTGATCCTAAGAAAGCTACGATTTTCGAAATTCTAGTGAACCCCACTAAATACGAGTATATTAGTAAATTTTTATTATCATTATTTCTTAACATACTTCTTATATATTCAAATTTAATTTCAAGGTTAATGTATTATAAATATTATAAGATTTTGTATTGAAACTGGATTATTGATGCTCGGTATAGCTACATGTCAATACATATTTGTATTTCACAGGCCACTGTCTAGTAAAGTATACTGCAGTTAAGAAAATATTAAGCTCCAGTAAAGTAGAAAAGTTTTTGGTCAGAAATTATACATAATTTATCTTCCATTTTTTATTAGTTTTCAATTTGATGAAATAATATATTTTATATATGGTCATTTATTTTTTTGTTAACATGAAACACTAAAAATACTACAACTATATAGGATGAGTCTTAAATATAAATAAGTGCAATTATTTTTAATGGAGGTGTATTTCATCCCAGTCTAGCCAAAAAATTGAAAATTGAATTTTATTTTAATTTTCAATTAAATTTCAAAAACATATCTTGATAATGCAGTAACATAGCTAGTATATTAAATTTAAGGCTTCCTTAGACACGCATGCTCCTTGTTCGTCCTGCTTACACATTCTTACCAAATCCCACATTCACTCCGTTTTAAGTACAGTTTTCTCTTCCGTCTTTAGTTTTCCAAAACAAACATGGATAGTGAGACATTAGCTCTGTGTACAGCAGTAGTTCTAGCCATAAAAAAATATGGTCGAAAAATGGTTTTAAGCGGTTTCACAAATATTAGCGGTTTTATTGCATACGGCTCTGAACGGTAAAATACCAGATAAAACCAGGAAAAAAAGTCTATATCGAGGCTCATGTGTAATATAATATTACGAATATCCGAATAACTATTTAATGTTTTGATATACAAAAAATGTTACGATATTTCTAGCAAAGTAAGTACAGACCAACTATACTAAATATTTGTAATCATATTAGAATTTATTTTTTTTACCACCATATAATTGTTTGTTGTGGGATTCACTTCCTTCAGTTTTTTAATCAAAATACTGTAAGCAGCGTTTTTAATTTTTTTATTTTATATTCTTTGTTTTTATTTTCCGCAAACATTAATGTTCTTTGTACAAATCAATAAAAGGTGATAGAAACTCTCGCGACATCAGTCTTAGGTCAGCCATATTGCCAAAATAAGACACACAGATAACATACACAAGACGCAATGCAAGAGAGAATACCAACCAAACTCATCGCCGTCTTCTCCGCAACTTGGAACACGGATAAATTAAAAGGCTATTGAACGGATACACGATAGACACGATAGACAGGACGGAAGACTTGATACCCTACACACTCCGTCTTACAAAATAAGTTAAAACTGTGCAGCTGTGTCTGAGACGGCCTTTAGAAGAATGAAAACATAGTACCTAAAAAATTGGTTCTGAAAATATAAAAAAAGCATATTTTTAAAATTTTCAAAGTAAAATAACTCAGTTATTTTACACTTATTCGAAAAACGGCAAAGAGAAAACATATTTTGTTTATGGAGAAGCCCTGAAAAGATTTGCACTTATTTAAGATAGTTCCTAATATATGAATTTTAACGCCTCTGTAATGGCCCCCAATTGTCGTAATTGTACATTTTTATATCATTTGATATAAAAAGCTTAATCCACCATATAACACTTGTCCATACTGAAAATAATAAAAAAAGAATCAAATCAGCATGAGTTTATAAAAACAGTAAATACATTTTTGAGAATTTTTATAAATAAACAGATCAAAGACTGCAAGTACGCAGAGAGAAGATTGCTATGCACTTTGAAGATATACTTATTATTTCAAATTTGAGGTAAATGTGCTCTATATTTGGAATGCTATTATATTTACTAAAGCAACATAAAATGCACATAAAATCATGGGCTTATTCATCTTTATGTCTATTTAAAGTAAAGGGCCGTCTTAATAACATGGATAATAATTTGACAATAAAATTAACCTAATTTTAGTTTTATATTTACCTTAAGAAATGACACCATATTTCCTCTTATAGGAAAGGAATAAAAAGTTACAAGTTTTTGCGATTGTGTTAAAATTAGAATGTAAGTTCTTTTGTTTCTTGTATCCCAATTATACCAGGAAACATTTAGAAGCTCCTTATATATCATCTGAAACTAACCAAGATAATCAGTTAAATTGTATTTATATTAGTAAGAGCGTCCAGCTGAAAGGCAAGAAATAAATATTAAATTTAGTGCATTATGATTTTTTTCACGCAATTTTGCACAAGGTCTCCTCATTTTAGTACAAAGCAAAATTTTCCACGTGATTAGCATATTTCATATGAAATATTCATATAAAGAATGAGTCTTAAATAAGTACAAATATTTTCAGGGCTACTAGATCTCGATAAAATAAACATATTTTCCCTTCACCGTTTTTCAAATAAGTCCAAAATAACTGAATTATTCAAGTTTGAACATGAAAAAAAAATTATTTATTTTTTAAAAATTTTAAAGCCACCGGATTTTTTTTGTATTTGCATCCCTTTTAGTTTTATCGTTTGTAATATCAGAGATCAAGAAATCATACCGTGGAAAAATTGCGGTGAACAGGCAGTTCTAAAAAGTTTTTTAAAATAATACAGGGAAATTTAAAAGAAAATGCACGGTTTTTAACATCTTTTTATTTACGAAAAAACTCATAAACGTGTTCCTGGGGTCGAAATATACCACCCCCAAAATATTTGCACTAACTTAAGACTCACCCTGCATAAAATATTAACAAAATACCACTATGTAATAATTTAAAAAAATATACATATACATACCTGATCTTCCAGAGATTGGCCAATGTTGAAAATTTCATGTGTAATTGTAACGGTTATTAGCAATACGGAGATCACAACAAAAATAATTTCATACTAGAGACAAAATAAAATAATAGTTATAGTACAGTGTTGTAATCATGTTTAAACGCACGTGTCATGTACAACGTTTTATCTACAACCGAAAAATAAGAAAATGCTGTTTTAATTTTCATTTATTAGTCGCCCACCTTTAACACCTTTAACTATGACATTTGTCACATTTTTTTAATTATAATTGTGGGTAATTGTCATTATTATAAAAACTAGTTGTGTTATAGATTCGTAACACGACTAGTGTTATGAATCTCGTAACGTAACTGAAATAGTGATGTAAAAACGTTATAATGAAACGGTTATAGATAAAATAATTTATTCTCCTCCGTCATATACAAGGTGTCTCGTTATTTTGTGGACATATAACTACTACATATCTTTGGAATCAATATATTATAATCAATTTGAAATCAGTAATTACAGTAAGTTAATTGGATACATTTACCTATACCGGGTGCGTCTCAAGAGTGGCTCACCCCTATAACTTTTTATTTTTTCAGATAAGAAAACGAAATCTGGTATGTTAGTATATTACATGAACTTGGATTGATTGATGTATTCAATTGTTTTTGGTCACTGCCTGTTGCAGCAGAAATGACTACAACTTTTGATTTTTAAATGGCATCCTCGGTATTTTTTTACTTTATTCGATAGAAAATGACAGTCTGAATTGAATGACATATCATATGTCAACTTTTGACATTTTCGCTTAAAACAAAATTGTATTTTAAATTTCAATTTAGAGTGCTGTGGCTATGTTAAAACACTAATTCTTAATCAAGGGGCCTTGGAAAAATAGATTTGATCGTCTAATGTTTTAACGTCTTGTCTTGGCCAGTTAGAAAATGTCCAAATCGTATTTTTAATCGTATCTCAATTTTTTCAAACGGAACCAGGGTGGCTCATTAGCATATTTGGAAAAAGCATTTTTTACGAATAATTTGATACCACACACTGGGTATTTCGAGTCAAATTTTACAAACCGCAAATTATAGTTTCAAATAAACCATACGCGAAAATGTCAAAAGTTGAATACGTCAATCAATCTTAATTTTTGTCATATACTGCTAACACACCAAATCTGGTTTTTTTAACTGAAAAAATAAGGAAGTTATAGGGATTAGCCAGCCAATTTTGAGACGAACCCGGTATACAAAAGTTCTTCTCTGGTTCGTTTAAATTCAGTTACAATTAATTAATCAGTAGTGTTCAGTTATTATATATTTACAATTAATTAATTGTAGTTTTAAGTCTAACTGATTAATATGGACGTAATTGATTAAACAGGAAGGTGCTATGTTCCATGCAGTGAATGCCACGATTAACATTCAGAATAAACGATTTGGGGGCAGGATTATTTCAGGTGGAGGTGGCGTGAATTGGTCACCAAGATCATATGATTTAACCCCGCTAGACTTTTTCTTGTGGGATTTTCTAAAGTCGCAGGTCTATACGAAATATCCGCAAACGACTGATACCCTCAAAGTCAATATAACCCAGGCCATCGCTCAAATTGGCCCCGATCTATGCGGCAGAGTCATTGAAACTTGGATCTCTCTGAAAACCCCTTTGTATTTTAATTTTTTGTCTCTTGTAAATAAAAATGCCATTCCAAAGCTGACCTGCAAAATCTAGTATAATAGTAATAATAGATCCCGTATATAGCATTTGACGCCTTGGAAGTAGCAAGATACAGCCACGGTATAAGGAAACTAGTAGCTTTACTCCTTGTTAAATCCTTTGTTCTTTTTCTGCCATTTTATATGACCTTGTTCTCGCGTACCGTGACCACTGACATAGCTGTATAGTCGTGGTCTATAACTAGGCACAGTATAGTCGTGGCACTCGCCATAGATGCATAGAGATGTATTTAGGAAAATATGAGTTCACAATAAAATAAAATAAAAAAAATTGATCATCGAGTAAAAATTTGCTTAAAAACAGAATATTTTCACATTTCGTGTAACAATTCTTCTGTATCTGAAAATCTTCTGATGGGAAGAAATGCGAAAAAAATATATAATGACCATGTTTTTATATTATTATTTATTTCAAAGATTTTCTACAACTTATTTTTTTATTTTAAAACAAGTTAAATTTTAGCATCAATGCGTTTGTTTTGTAGTAATATATTGGTTACGTGATTTTATTGGATTAACACATTCAACAACGCATTGTACTAAATAGTAAAATAACATATTTAAACTTCAATAATTGCTAATAAACATTGCAGAAATTTTAAAAAAGAAAAGAAGCAAGAACAATGAGAAATAGCATTACTACTTTTTCACGTAATAAAAGAATAATTTTTTGAACCGGGAATTAATAATTTCGAGTCCCGATTCTTTGACATCTTAAAAGAACGGGGAATTTCCGGTTTTGAACCCTAGTTACCATATTATCAAGAAATTATGTTTTTTTAACTAAAAAAATTAATTATGTATTTATATTATTAATTTAAAAATTGCGCAGAAAAATCCTCATAATTCTGGGAGCCATACTACCCTTAAAAATATTTGCACTTATTTAAGACTCATCATGTATAGGGCGATTCACGGTTATGGTACGTTCTAGCGTTTCCGGAACCGGAGTTGTTTTTCGGAACCGGTAATTTCGGTACCATGCCTCTAAGGAACCGGGATTTCCAGTTTTTTTTCGGTACTTTCGGTACTAGTAAATTTTTGTGCAATGATGGTGCAGTTTGATAAACTCAAAGCATAATTTTTTGAATTATTACTACAACCAAAAGCAACACACAGTAAGGCACACGTTTTTTGTCAATCCGTCTCTGTGCTGGGACCATAGATTTAGTAAGAACAGATATCACATTAGACATTTTAACCCGATCAAACAATCGAAGGTTGACTACGTACTGTAAAAACCAACTGAGATAGAGAAGGCGACATTGCCACATCTCAAATTTGCGCCTATCTACTCAGTTTGATTTGCAGAAAAGATGACTTTAAAACCTTTACCGGATATCAATAAATCTCAATTTCTTAATTAAATTAATAGTTTATTTTTAAAGAAGCTTGCGTAATAATATGTTATTAACCAGAGGATATATGCGTTACTATTAAAGGACATGTTTACTGTTTAATGTGCTGAAACGTCTAGATCTATTGGCAACGTCGCTGCTATTCTTCCAGAATGAAATAAGCCGTCCGTCCCACCACCCCTCGCGCCGGCCCTTGATCCGTTATAGCGTATTACGTTTAGCTTGCGGTGTGTTTGAAGTCGGAATCAAGACGAAAGTGAACTTTTCAGTGTTTTTCGGTGGTTTTTGTTTTTGTTTAACGTACTTTTGAATCTGCGAATTCAGTATGGACAGTGTCAAGTGTGTGGAAAAATAAGCTCAAATTACCCGAGTTTGTCTTTTCACAGGTGGGTATTGTTTTGACATTTTATATTTCCGTCGTCATTGTACATAGGCGTCCCACAAGGGAGCCTCTCACAATTAAAATAATTTCTAATTATATTTGTAATTAATCTATTAAAACAAGAACGTAGTAGCCGGTAATTGAATTATAATTCGTCTCAATTACTACCTAACTGTTGTAGATCATAACAAATTTGAATATAAACGTTGTATTTGAAACTATTATAAGCCAGAAAGTGACATTTTTTTTCTTAAAATTGCGTCATTTTTGGTCATTATAAACGATATTCTAAAGGAATTTTGTTCAACAAATAAACAAAGGTGTTAACCGAAGCAAACGTAATATTCATTATTATGCGACAGAAATCCCATACTGTAGCACACAGATTTGATACTTTTAATGATAAATGCCTTCTATTGAGAGACTAAAAGGTAATTCTTCTTCTTCTTCTTCTCAAATACTATGGCCCCGCGTTTTCCAACGTCCGGCCAGCCTTTACTAAAAGGTAATTGCCTCGTATCAGAGCCATCATAATACAAGAAGAAGACCGAAAGAGTCAAATCTTGTCTCATATTTTCAAAAAAAGAATTTTCTCATTAAATATTGATTTTAGGTATAGGAAGTTATTAATAATACAAGATTAAACAACTATTACACAGATACTTCACAGGAAGCTATCGATTGCGAACTAACTAAATCGTTACTAATTACTAATTTTGAAGTTCTTTTTAGATCAAAAAAGGTAAAACTAAAACCTAAACTATCATTTCAGCTTAAACGGGAAGTTCTAAATAATATTGCCTATTCTAAACAAGAAAAATTTATTTACAAATTTTATAACATCTCTAATTAAATTTGGACGAAAAAGAATATTTCTGTTTGCTGTAGGTAATTTACTCAGGAAAATACAAAAATAAAAATAACTTTTTAAGTCAAAAAAAGTCAAAAGGACAAGTTATTCTAAAAAGGACTGTCCTTTTCAAAAGGACAGGTGGCAACCCTAGATATTTCTGGAATGGAAATTTAATGGCAAATCTTTATATATAACTTTAGTTTGAAAATATGTTCCGGCCACCTATGTTTACAAAAATGTCTAAAATGTGCTTTACCATTGCCTCCATATTCTGAAAAAAAATTGAAAGAAAAGTCACCAACCACAAACCTAATATAGAACTGTTTCGGAAGCTTGAGTCACGCTGTAAATATTCAAGAGTAACTGAAAGTTTATATAGAAGTAACTGAAAGTTTAAATTGAAAATCGACGTTGGAGCTATTTTCGAAAACTACCTACTAACGTTTCAACAAAGGTATATGTGGGATATTAATTATATTATTATATTAGACCTTATAACAAAACTCAGTGTTTTTCGGTGGTTTTCGGTGGAAAAAGTGTTAATGTAGTATATTAATATGGAGTAAAAATTTTACTAATTAATTTACTTTTACTTTACTAATTAAATTCGTTCCAAAAAACGATACGCCACTGGCCATTAGAACAATCCAAATGCGCCTAGTTGCTGGGGTCGGAAATTTTAGACTTCTCTGTCTCTTCTGTTCTTGTTTGACACATTGATTTCCAGTTTTTTTTCGGTACTTTTGGTACTAGTAAATTTTTGTTCAATGATGGTGCAGTTCGATAAACTCAAAGCATGATTTTTTGAATTATTACTACAACCAAAAGCAACACACAGTAAGGCACGCGTTTTTTATCAATCCGTCTCTGTGCTGGGACCATAGATTTAGTAAGAATAGATATCACGTTAGACATGTTAACCAGATCAAACAATCGGAGGTTGACTACGTACTGTAAAAACCAACTAAGATAGAGAAGGCGACATTGCCACATCTCAAATTTGCGCCTATCTACTCAGTTTGATTTGCAGAAAAGTTGACTTTAAAACCTTTACCGGATATCAATAAATCTCAATTTCTTATTTAAATTAATAGTTTATTTTTAAAGCCGGTTATTAATTATATTATTATTTTAGACCTTATAACAAAACTCATCTGACGAAAAAGTGTTAATGTAGTATATTAATATGGACTAAAATTTTTACTAATTAATTTACTTTTACTTTACTAATTAAATTCGTTCCAAAAAACGATACGCCACTGGCCATTAGAACAATCCAAATGCGCCTAGTTGCCGGGGTCGGAAATTTTAGACTTCTCTGTCTCCTCTGTCCTTGTTTGACACATTGGAATGTTTGATACACTACCAACGAGTATTTATGAATGAGATGTTTGGTCTATCTTTATAATGTCTTTGGCTGGGACGCAACACTCGAACCTTGCAGGCCGACATACGGAACTCAGCTGAAACTCTCGGCAATCTGCCGATACTCGACAGATTGTAAAAATTAGCAGAAAATATTTGGGAGAGTGCAACTACTCTTTTCCTTCTATTATGGTCCAGCTTGCCATGCTAGAGCCGTTCGATATACAAGGAAGGTAATGTGGCTAGCACTACGCTTCAACCGCTTATTACAACCTCAGGATTGTGAATCCCAAGTACTCATTTAAGGTTGAGTCGACCTAGGTACCCAAACTATTTTTATTTTAATAAAAATAGTCGGCTGATGAAATGCTGGGTGTAGGATTCGAACCCACTACCTTGAGATTGGTAGACGAGAGCCTGTACCTCTACGCCACTGGGCACCTTACACAAAATGTAGTACGAGATAATAATCTAATTGGTAAAATGAGGAATGCTATGTGAGTGAATATCTTTGTCAATCAATAAGCTGCATACATTTTAAAGTTATTAACCTTTGAGTTTATTTTGACTGATGATCCACTAACAGACAAATAAAGCACTTTTGTATAATAGATAAATATATGAGGCGTCAAGTTGTAAAACCCGTCTATCCCACAAACGTTGTCTTAAGATAATAAGCAAAAACTGTTTTAGCAAATGTTTGAAGCGTTAATTTACAAAAACGTGTCCATTGAGTGAAATGATTGTTTTGTGTCTCGTTTTTTCAGTAATAAAAATTAATATTTAATTTTTAAACAGAAAAAACACAAAAACAATTCGGATAAGACGGGTTTTGTTGCAGTAAGAACGCTATCATTTTATACGTAATTTTTATGGGAAATTTCATCGATCGTCATTTCCTAGCCAACTGGACGCCGTTTTTTTTTTCGATCATACAGTATTTGTATCCGAACTTAATTTATTAAATATGCTATTTTATTAAAATTAAATAAGGATTTGAAAAGACGTCAGAAGTAATATTATACTTGTGTAAAAAGCTTGTAAAAAATGCGGGATTTGTAACAATAATGAAAATAAAAAGGAAATATAAGTGGATAAGACGGATTTTGCTACAGTAACGTAATTTGTAGTGAATTTTATATAGGAATATGCGACTTTTATTGCAGTTTGGGATTTTGATTATGTAGATTTCAAAGTCCTCTATTAATATATGTCATTAGGCCATTTTTTTAAATGGATAAGGCGGGTTTTGCAACTTGACTCATATATTTTATTTCAATTCCAAAAATATGTGTCTGGGAGTTTTATGTCCACAAAATATTGAAATTGAGTAAATTTACCCTGTGTATGAAGGGTCAGAGGAAAAAAGCAGGTAAGTCAATTTTTCAATATAGTTTTGATTTCAGGGTAGTTCATGTATTTGTAATAACTTTTTTAAGGAAGGTTGAAAAATATATATTTTTTATTTATTTATTAATATCTCTGAAATTCTCAAAAACTATTTATTCATATCTTAGGATTATGTAAAGTGATCTACAGTAACTAATTCAGTACTAAATATACAGGGTGTTCCATTTACAAAAATCATCCCGATCCATTCACACTTTTTTGAGCTACGGTATAGAAGTTAAAATATTGTCCTGAAATACATCCGGGTATATACTTTAGGTTTGCACTTAAACAAAATTCTCAAGTTTTTTATTGCCATTGCCGGACCCAGTCAAAGAGTCAAAGTTATAGCTGTGGTTATAGTATAAAGGAAAAACAGCAGTTAAGTCAAGCAAAAAGAGAAAGAAACTAGGCAAATCGTTATTGAGTTCGTTCGTGTGTCCGCTAAAATGGTATTTTATCTAATAATAAATACCTTTACCAAGTTCTAACACGCTATTACGCTATTTTTATAAGTTGCGGTACTCTCTTTTTGTAAAGTTTTGATCATTAAATCGTGCCTTTCTCAGTTTGGACAGAAACTGACTTACCTGCTTTTTATCCCTTACCCTTCATATTTGATTGTTGAGATCTACTTACGCCCTTAAACATCCTGACATATGACGTTATTAGTGGTAATATTGATAGACCTATACCCATTAGACCGATAATAACCAACTGTGTGATATAAGAATTAAATAACATATCTGCGTAACTAAAAAAATCCCTATTAGTAATTTAGTGGTTTTGACAGTAATTTGTGGTACCGTAATAACAATAAATGCCTCTCATAAAAAACATTCAATTCATATCGTACATTTAATTGATACCATTTAGAGTTTATGTACTTTGCGCAATCTCTATTGTACTCCAAATTTAATGCTTTATTGTTCTTTATAAAATCGGCCACTGAATCAATCTAAGGAATATGAATACGATAAGGTATAAAAAGATGGGGTTTATTACATTAACTCAGCACCTACCTGTAGTATAAAATTAAATGTAAAATAGGTTATTATTTCAAATATACGTATACAGCTTATTGCACCTAACTGTGCCCAAAGTATATGTATGCAGGTTGGGAACCAATAAATGGATGAAAAATGTATTTGTATGTAATAGAGCAATGAGATTGACTTGTCTCCCACTACAACAGCATAATATTAAACAATAATAATAAAATATATCTAACTATACAGTGTGAGTCGTAAATAATTGCAAATATTTTCAGGGATGGTAGATCTCGATAAAAGAAACATATTATTTTCTCTTTGTCGTTTTTCAAATAAATCCAAAATAACCGAGTTATTTTACTTTGAAAATTTCCAAAAAAATATACTTTTTGCTAAAGTTTTGAGAACTACTGGATATTTTCTAGATTGTCTTTCTTGTGTAAGGGCCAAATTTTTTTTTTATTTCAGGCGGTCAACTCAAATTAAAAATAAAAACCATAAAACAAATTTAAAGGGCGTAAATGTTGTATAATAAAATAGAACTAATAATATAAAATAAAAATAATACTAATAGACGGTACGTTACTAATGGTAATAGCCAACTTTGATCTGGGCGCTGCAAATGGACAAATGTTGTATAGCAACAAAAGTCTTGTATGGCCCGGCTACCGAGATGACCTACCTGCAATTAAAGAAAAAACATGGTGTGAGTAACAATGTTACCAGTTATTATTAAAATAAAGTGAATTTAAAATTAAACAGGTACTTGAATGATTTATCAATAGCCCAACTTAAAAATACAAGTTTAAATAAAATAATAAAATGCCACACAGGCTATTAAATGCCACACAGGCTAAAAAAACAAGCCACACAGGCTAACAAAATGCCACACAGGCTAAAAAACATGCCACACAGGCTAGTCACACAGACTATTAAAAAAATATGCCACACAGGCTATCAAATGCCACACAGGCTAAAAAAACAAGCCACACAGGCTATCAAAATGCCACACAGGCTAAAAAAACATGCCACACAGGCTAGTCACACAGACTATTAAAAAAATATGCCACACAGGCTAAAAAAACATGCCACACAGGCTAGTCACACAGACTATTAAAAAAATATGCCACACAGGCTATCAAATGCCACACAGGCTAAAAAAACAAGCCACACAGGCTATCAAAATGCCACACAGGCTAAAAAACATGCCACACAGGCTAGTCACACAGACTATTAAAAAAATATGCCACACAGGCTATCAAATGCCACACAGGCTAAAAAAACATGCCACACAGGCTATCAAATGCCACACAGGCAAAAAAAACAAGCCACACAGGCGATCAAAATGTACAAGTTAATAGTCAAACTACACTACGGGGCTAACTACTCTTCAAGTCCAATTACGCTACGGGACTAACTACTTGTCAAGGCTAATTACGCTACAGGACGAACTACTCTTCAAGTCTAACTACGCTACACAGGGTCACTACGCCCCAAAGGCTAACTGTAGAAAATAATAAAGCTAAACATAATTCATTCAAGCTCAATTTGATAATACAAATACAGAAATATATTCTTATCTTCTATTAAAGTCACTTAGACAGAATATAAATAAATCACTGTAAAGAAATACTTCAATATTATCATCTGAAAATCATATTTTCTTAATATTCAATCAAGATTAATTTGATAATATTAATACACAAATATATTCTTATCTTCTGTTAAAGTCACATAGCCAAATTATAAATAACTCACTATAAAGAAATACTTCAATATTATCATCTGCAAATTATCTTTTCTTTATATTCAATCAAATATCTTAAAATTTATCTGAGATTCAGAAATATAATATATCTCAATAAAAACAATAAACAGTAACCAACTAGTTGCTCAGTGAGATAAAATAAACTCACCTTAATTAAACTTCTTATTCGGCACGGCAATGGAACTCAGAACTACCACAAAACCTTAATTAAACCTCAGAAACTTTAATAGTTTTAATTTAATAAGCGCGTACCACTTCTTTCTCTGACGCTGTCTAATACTGTTTTAGACGGCGATACTGTATTGAATGTTATCTAAAACCTTTTTGAAAAGTGCAGGTAGCATGAATTTTGGGCTTGTTTTTGTTTACATTCGAAATTCCATTGCGCTCCGGCTTTTGAAATGTCTGTTTTTTATTACGTCAGATAAAGAAAACGTAGCATAGAAAAATAGAGTTCTTACACTTGTAAATTTAATCTACTACCAATGTCGCCATATTATCAACAAATTATGTTTTTAACTAAAAACTAAAAAAAACGAATTTGAAAAAATTCCAATTTTTTTCGCAAAAAAATCCTCATACTCGTGTTTCTCGGGTCGAAATATACTAACCCTAAAAATATTTGCACTTATTTAAGACTCACCCTGTATAAATAAAATTTTGTAAACTGTAATTTTCTTCAAATTGTAATCTTGTTAAAATACAATTTTTTAATAATTTCATTCACTAATTTGAATAAATAAAAGTAAAAAAACAATGTGTATAACTTATTGACTAATTACTATTGCTTACTTTTAAAATGCCATATGAAGTTTATAACGAACGCTAACATCTCGAATACCAATACCCATTTTTGATAAATTTTGCTTTTAATTTTGAAATATCTGTTGGCTACAGTAGGTTTGGTTATTGGCAAAAACCATTTTTGCTCCAATTCAAATAACTTAAATATATAAGACTTAGATAACAGATATGTTCCAGCACAAACAGTAATCTAAAAATTAGCTCAATGTATTAAGTTATCTCGCGGGCACGTGTAATTCGTACACTTGCCGCCTAAGATTTAATTTATGTGTTGGATTATAACCAAAATACTATTATACTTATATTACTATATATTACTATATAAATAATATTAGTATGCAATATCTATATAAAATAAGATTCTTTTATTTGCAGCATTAGATTGACGATTTGATAGCCCAAAAAGAGTAATTTTGGGTAATTTTTTATTACATTTTTTTTCTAAAGTTGTGGGCATGCTCCTTTGTAGTATCGAACCACGCGTATCTGTCACTGGGATTATTTTATTATATCTATTGTATCACTCTGTAAAAAAAATCTGAGTCCTGAATAAAAATACAAATATGTATGTAATAATAATGAGTAGATCGTTTTTAGGGACCTATTATCTAAGTACAGTACAATACAAGGTGCCCAATATTCAGTGAACATCGAACTATGTACTATCTATTTTTGGAATACGTCAATTCTACCTAATTTACCTCTACTCACAGGTGCTTTCTCCGTTAGAGAGCTAATCTATGAAAACTAAATCTAAACGGTAATTAATTTAAAATTTATGAAACTTATTTTCAAAAATCATTTGTCACGCTGACATTGGTACATATACAGTGCCTCTCCTATTCAACATATTCATGGCAGCGCTCTCCATTATAGTAGACAGCAAACTGCAGGAGAGAGGATTGGGCATTAGATACAGATACGACGCACAGTACTTTGAAGGATAGGGTTTGCGGACAAAATTGAAATAAAGCATAAAAACGGGTTTTTAAAAACATGTTTAATTAAGAAAAAATCTTGATTGTAAATAATAAATCAAATGTACTCAATCGTGAACGCAAACTAAATAAACTTTAAGAAAAATTATCTTCCGTCTCAGAAACCAAAAAAAAAGACATTTTAACTATAAAAAAAATCCTTAAAGTTGATGAATTTTAACTAATCTTTATTCGGCTTCTTAGAAGCCCCAGCCGTATTCTCCCTGAAAATTTCATCAAAATACCTCCAGCGGTTTCGGAGCTCTCGTGACACAAACATACAGACAGAAAAAAAATCATACTAGCATAAGTTGCCAGTAGCTGCAAACAACCTTTACAATTTCAATAGCCCAAGGTCCACATTATTTAATAAAACTGAAAGTACAAGATGTTTGGCATAGAACTCAATAAAAGTTTAATCAAAGTTAATTACAACAAAAATCTAGATTATTTTCAGTCATTTTTTACTGCCGTATAACTTCGTACCCAAAAATAAAATTGTATATTTCATAATGTACAACAATAATACATACCTTGGTTAGCTTCCATGGCAGGTTTAGTTTTTTTTAATGAAAAGGCACTTGTTGGTACGATTCGTTTTAATCACAGTAAACGATTGATAAGACAATTTTATTTCATCTACATTTTTATCATTGTTCATAATGTTTTGTAACGATATCGAGTATCCTAACAATAAAAGTAATCCTGTTTGTGGTATTTCGATTATTTATCTCTGATATGGGAGCAAAAAAATGTTTTTTTTGCATACAGAATTTTGATTATTGTCCATAGGCGAAGCATTGTGCGACGGCGGTCTGTTCAACATAAAAAGACTCAGGGCAAAAACATGTACAAAATTCATCACAGAACTTCAATACGCTGCTGATGACCGCGCTCTAGTTGCAAACACATTACAACAATTACAGGAAATGTTGGACACATATACCTGGACATACGAGGCTTTGGGCTTTAAGCTAAACATCGACAAAATCAAAATCATGTGCACTCCCCCGGAAGATCACAACAATGCTAAAAAAATCGGAGAAGAGCTATTGGATGTAGACTCTGACATCTAGCACAGGATTAGCAGCGCCTCAAGGGCATTCTGGAAATTAAAAGACAAGGTTTTCTACAATCATGACTTAAGAATAAAAACAAAACTTGCAGTGTA